TATTTTATATGTTATGAGCGTGCGCATGTAACGCGTCATCCAAGAAAGAAGCAAAAGTAAAAGAATAAATGTTAAATAAATTTGCATCATGCAACAAAATATAAAGATCTTGTAACATGTTCGACGTATCCATTTGCAGATAATTATTTATCCCAAATGAGTTACGGATACATACCGACACAGTTCACATTTATCATCTGAAGATGAAGTGAGAAACTGCCCCGCAAATGTAAACAATATTACTAATTCTTCAAAAATGATGATCGCAATGACATGTGAGCGTAGAATTTAAACTACAATCACTATTAATTTTCATTTAAAAAATATATAATTGTCCATCTTTTATCGACGACTGAGGTGTATCAACAGGAGGTGCAGTACCGACAGACAACTTTTCCAGGCGGGATTTTAAGCGAATGTTCAACCATCGGTATACGGTAAAATAAAAAATTATTATGCCGACGCATTCATAATTTATAGCCGTGCGTAAATTGATAATTTCGCAGTAAACTTATCTGTTTATCAAAATTAAACCTTTAAGACAAAGTGACCTTCAACATGCAGTGACTGGAAGCGTGAAAGTTAATCGTTGATGCAGCACAATACAAATGGCACGGAGTTTTACGGATCTTGTCTACGTGAATGCGTAGCGTGCGCGCAGTATGCAGGTGTGTGTATACATACGTGTGTGTTATTGCACTTTATTATTTTCCATTAACAAGAAAAATTGAAAGCGGCGTGAGAGAGTTACCGTTTACAATCAGTTGGAATGAAACCGCGCGCTGTTCTCAATTATTATCAATTGCATTGCGCAATGAAGCATAGAGAGACTTTTTCACCGGATTGTCGAATAAACGCCGCTATTTCATTTATTTCACCGACCCGTTAGAGTTACGGTCCACTCTAGTAATTACTGCGAATACACCATTATATAAGGGCGAAAAAAGGAGATCGGACAGCGCGCATTTCAATTTGTCGCACAATTTTCTAGAGACGGATGGGTGGGGACGAGCACGCTCCTGTTTCGCGAGCTAGATTACAGTCGCATAGGATTTAATCGCGTATCCGTGCGCGGTTAATGCTAAAAATTACGCTTTATCGAATTTCGACAGGGCCGGAAGTACAGCGGGAAAGAAGATCTGTCGCGGAACCGAATTAAACAACGAATTAAGCGCTGAGTTTAATTATGTCACACTGGAAAGCTTTGGAGTAGCTTTCGCTTAACTCGTAAAAGAGCACGTTTATTTATTTATTTAATTTTTTGAAAACATCGTTAGCGCAAACTTTTTTGCCCTCCCGTAAAACGCTTCCGTTGGCGAGAAGGTAATAAATCGCCCGTATCTGTTCTCATCCAGCGCAGAGATACGTCAGGGATAATTCTTAATATTGCGGAATTAACTGACTTTCTCGACACAAAATGCCACGTATCGGACGTTACGTTACGGTCGTGTACGAGCAAGCGAGCGAGCGCTTTCCTTTCTCTCAAGCCGTGGAATTTTTACGCTATCCTGTTCGAATCCGCGGCACGACGGTATCAGCGACTTGCGTGAGAAATCGAACGGACGTATTCTCGCTCGATTTCCCATTATTACTTTACATGCGGCGGACAGGAGAGAAGGTAGGACGGGCCGGTAAAGAGAGCCTGTCGAAAGCCGAAAGCATTTTTCCGACGTCTTACGCCTCGAAAAGTTCCCCATCTGTATTTGTCCCGCTATAAATCGCCGACGGTTGCCGTAGCTGTATCTCGCTCACGTTTTGCTTTGAGTAATGCCTCACCGACGTATTCCGGTCGCATGAGAGACGAAGAAACGGACCAGGAATCGATTGTAATCATAAACCCGAACAAGCAGACGTTCGCTTCGCGATTCGTTCAAGTAAAGCGTTGCTCATCGTGTGTCTAATTAAAAACCGCGGGGACAATCCTTACGATCGCGCGCGCGTCATTGTCCGTATCGCCGCCGGGTCTCTTATATGCGACTCAGCTACTTCGAGTTTTATTGGCCTAATATGAAGCGAAGTATTCAATATATTCATGAGATGAGGCTCAGACAGTCATATATTCACCACGATAAGGGTTCAAGCTAATATCGATGATTTTCAAGCACGAGAACAGCTCGCGTTATTTATTGGCCTTAAATAACGATGAAATCGGTTAGAGCTGTTGGAAATTTCACTTCTTAGACGTATATCACAAAGAGGAGACGATCAACTGATGAATAATTCTCCTTCCGAAGATTGATTAGCTGATCTCACACAGTCGAGAGACTTGAATGTGCCAGGTGAGAAAGCCATCCCTTGTAAATTCAAACGGGCTGTTATTGCGCGATATCGCTTAAATGCGAGAATTGGAATGCCGCGAGTGGTGCGCGCGTCCTATCACGAAAGTCGCTGACGCGGTCCTTCACTCGCGATAGGGTCGAACTGTCGGACGTCTTCCAGCGGCGGGAACGAAGGTGTATTCCCATTTGAGTTGCTCGGGGGGTGAGAGTCCATGCTCTGGCTTGCGTCTATCTGTTGAGATTTCCTGGACTACGTGATCGGAGTACGAATAGTACTGTCCGTGAAGAACGTCGAAACATATTCTGACGTGAGTTTGCGCGCACTCTTACGATTTAGACGGGTGTCTTGCAAACTCATGTCGTAGCTAAGCTCATCTCGATGCCAACGAGACCAATCGAAGTGATTTCTTTTACGCGGAAAACGCTACCTTTTCTCCCTAGCCGAGGCGCCGAAGACGATGAGACAGCCGACAAATAAAGGAGCGGTTATATTGAGATCTTGGTGCAAAATATCTATTGCGTGCGTTCGAACAGAAATTACAGTCCTCGTGTTACGTGGCGCAATTTTCTTTCCATATTTCCCCCGTAGTTTGCAGAGAGGGTTTCCGTTAACTTTGCAACTGTTAAAGTAGTCACGTATAATTTAATTATAGCTGCAGAGCAAATTCCAGCTCGCTGCGGGATCAGGCGCGGCCTGTAATTAATTCGGGCATCCTCGCAGCCGTAAAGTGCAACGTGCGCCTGTGAACGACTCATGACACGGCGACTCCAGTTTCCGCAAAACCTCGAGGAAATATCTTCTTTTTTCCTTCTTTATATTTTATGGGCATCATTCGCTGTATGTACACGAGATCGTATTTATCTTTGAGTTATATCCGACGCACGGTAACGTGGATCTATTCGATAAGCGAAATTTCCTCTGATCTCACCGCGCTGGTATTAATTTTAACGTTTGCGCGGTTATATATATTACCGTGATTATTCTTCCCAATGAAGCCCAACCGTTCGTAGTCGCGAACGAAAGGCGAAAAAACCAATACCGTGCCGCCGGCAGTAAATTCGCTAAATATTTATCGCGACCGTGCACAATACGCGCATGACTACGCACGTATTTCGATCAAAAATTCATGAAGTACGGCGCAGTATGTTTGCCTTTACAATCCGAACACCGGAACACCCAACGTAGCATTTAGCGTTTTTGATTCAAGCGGGGATTCAAGCGCGAGCAGCCGCGACGGATCTTTCACAGAACCAACCTCGGATGAACTTCGCGAGGCGTGAGGTAAGTTTTTCGCGCGCGGATCGCGTCCTCCCGATAGGTTCCGCGCGATTGTTCTCACGATCTCCTCCGGCCGATTGCAACGAAGGGTTATTCCGATAAAGCAGCGAAAGGACGACCTCGCGGTGAATTCCGAGGTAAGCTAAGGCGCAGAGCGACACGAGTAGGGCAGGGTTACGGATACGGGGTTACGGCATTACTATCCTGATAATGGAGTGGCGGTCAATGGGGCGATAGATCGCGCCGTGGAGACGGTGCCGTAACGCGCGGGAGCCGAGCAAGCTCCCGAGGGAACCGCTCACCCCCTTCGCCTGCCAGTTCCAGGCCACGTATAGCGACCGTCGTCCTTTCACCTCCCTGTCTTTCTCACAACTGTATTCGATCCCCCTTTTGCACACCTCCTCTCTCTCTCTTCCTTTCTCCCTATTTCTCCTTTTCTCACCCGTCGATTCCTATCGGTCGGAGGAGTAGGGGATGTTTCCGCGCCGAATGCGCGTTCTCGACGTAACGTAGGGTCGCTACCGCGCTCCGGCGGAAGCTGCCGCTGGGAAACTGCAGTGCGCCTGGACGAAAGTGTTTTCCAAAGTCGATGATACTCGTCACGTTTTTCCGTAGATAGGTAGGAACGCGCGGGATCGTTGGGTCGCGAGCGTCTGTAAGGTGGCCCTACGATACGGTATCGCCCTAAGATTTTATTGACCGAGTTTCCATTATTTATTTCATCGTGGAATTCGTGCCGATTGAAATATATTCTATATATGCGTGTATCTATGCGCGCGCTACACATATGTAGAGAGAAGGGACGCGAATGCATTTGAAACTGTATTCGTTCGTAACGCGCAACGAATCCGCAATGTGTGCATCAGGTCGTCACTATCTGACTGTTGTGTCAGTCTACCGCAACTATTCGCCGCTATTCGGCACGTTCAATATTGACAGGTTTAATATTACATGCGTTCGTGATTACCTTGACGATTAGAAATTTATGCGGGTTTAGAATTTCAGCCTATTCTATCTCGCGCTGCTCTCTGTCACTGCAAAAATGCAATTAGTGTGTTCGCAAATTGCGCTCGATTTTCGCAAACTATGTTAGAGGAAGTAAGGCAAATGTTATGAAACGATGCAGATCGTGCGTAATGCGTGTGGAGGAGAAGCTTCGTTAACCGGTGACATCTTGGTTCCTATTCCCACGGTTTTACGACGCATCGCGATAAGCGTCGTAAAACTGCAACTGTCGCTCGCGCTCTTTTATGAACAAATCAACACTGGTAGAACATGTCATTGTCAATGTCATTTATGTACATACAATTTGTTCTCATTGCATGAGAGTGGATGCGAAAGCCAAATCGGTTAAACAAGCATATCCGCTTGTTACAGAGTAAGACGCCTGACAAAGAGGAGCAGACGTCTATGTGACATAAACATGCATCTATCACGCCATGAAACGTGGCCTAATACCACAGTGGGAGAATCGTAAGATTGAAAGGGATAGACTTGAGAGAAGCTGTCAAGTGTTGGTCCAGTCAAGCTTTGACCACTCGTGGAACATCAATCCTCATACTGAAATAATATTGCCTTAAAGTTCTGTCTAAACACAACGGGCTTCGTAAGATTTGCCGGACGACGTGACGGTGCGACAGTGCCATTTAATTGTACGTGGAAATCTGTAAGTCAATATTGTCAATCCCACCGAACGATGAATTAACAATTTACCACTTCTAAATCTGTGCTTTCTGTTTGAAAGGAAATTATATTTTCGGAATTATACAGAAAATATGAGACTGAGTCTATATATCGTCGTATTCTTATTGATAATAGTAGCGACCACGGCGTTCATAGTTCCGATAAAATTACGATGGAAGCATAAAAAAACGAGACAGAGATTGATTGAGCAACTTTGTAGACGCAAACCAATTTCGCCACTTGCACTGCCGTGACGATGAAGAGTCCGTCTGTTTATCTACTTATCTATCTATCTATCGTTTTGGAAAGAATTTGTAGAATAATCTCTCACATGTATGGTATAAATATGCAAGAATAAATAAAATACGCATCATGCATCCTTAAATCTCCAACAGATTATATTTATTCATAATGAAGTGTGTGAGACGCGGACGATTGAAGTTTGTGATTATGTTGATATTCTTCCATGCATCTTAATTATCTTCGATTATCAAGATACGATAATACAGATATTATCCATCGAAGTTTGCGAACTCTGCGAGATCGTGTTCAGCAGCGCGAGTTTCGTACCTGCTCGTAAATCCAAACGCTTGGAACCTGTCACGAAAATACGCTCGAAGATAAAGTGACTCACTCGTTTTCAAAACTAAATTCTTCTTCGTCAGAGCAACGTTTCCCGCAGTATGAATATTTATTATCGGGAAGAGTAATTGTGACGAGTTCTAAATTTAAACGTTGATGCAGATGAAAGTGAGTGTTCAAAGTCGAATACACTTAATGCGGCATACCAGCACTCCCTTTTGTAAATGATCTCAATACGAGAGAAAAATAACTGATCACTGATTTGGCACGAGTCATCTCATGTAACGTCAATGATGTCGCGTTTTACCATAACGATAGAAGCAGCAGCCCGTTCCACTTTGAAGTGAACTGCGAAACGACATTGGTTACGATCGAAATAAATGGTCTCCGCGATAGAAGATGGAAGAGGAACGTTAACGTGATGGAGGTAGAATTCGTCGTAGTTTTATTCTGATGTTGGGCTCACGTTCAATCGTGCAGGTGGAAAGGGAGTTGCAGGGACGTGGGTGGTTATAGGAGTGGCGGTAAGGCGCTACAGACTCTCAGAATCGGTTCGGTCCGCCGATCGCTAAAAGAATCAAATAAAGCGCAAGGTTTCCTTCCGAATTTTTGCGCCGCGCATATGCGCGTAATAATTCTCGCGCGGCAAGAGAAACGTATTTTTATTCGTTCCTTCATTTTGCCGCCAAGGTTCACACGAGTTCTTGTGTTTTTACAACGAACCGGTGATAATAATATCTCTGATTGCCGTTCGTCATTTAACATTCGATTTTTTACGTAAGTAGACAAGTGACAGATTTTACGGAGTAAGGAAAAAGCGAGAAATGCAAATACTTAACGGGGATATCCCCAGCTCTGTCACCAAGTACACATGCAAGCGTTCGTCGTATTTACACGGAGAACAGTGGATGAGATAGGATGCGGTACTTCCCAACGAAATGTATTGAAGTCCGCGTACATAATTAAATGTGGATACATGCTTGATAAGTACATGCTTGATAAGATGCGGCACATGTGCATATATAAACGATAGGTCGGAGGAGATAACAGCATTGCTTATTCAGTATACCAGCGCGAGAGAACGTAAGTCGAACGAATATATATTTTATCCTATCTACTTAGATTTTAAATATCAAATATATCTCACGATGAATATGATTACTCTTTCGATCGTTGTAAAATAATAATTTTTGGATCATACTGACTGTTATCTTGAGCTGGAAACTGAAAGTCTCGAAAGTATTTCGAGAGATGCGGACTCGAGATGCATCAAATTGTAACTTGATATTCATATGTATCTTTTTTGTTCTCAGAAACACAGAATACAATATGAAATTCCACTTGTTCATCTTCGCTCTACTCTTGGCAGCGATGGCCGCCCTTGCGTACAGGGCTCCGGTTCAACTACCGCCTCCGAACGGCAAAAAATTCCCAAGTTTTCCCGGTCAAGGACCCTTCAATCCAAAGTACGGGAAATGATGCCACTAAGTAATGACTTCCGCTGGCATCTTTTGGAATCGACTTCATACAACGGAAACTGACACGCTTGGGATAATTTATTGATACAAACGACACGTGTGCTCTTCCATTGTGCAATTTCTGGCCACGTAACACATACTTATGTATCTCTTGAAAAACATCTTTCTACTATATAAATAAAGTTGTATCGTTAAAACATCTAATTTATACTACTTTGCCATTATTTCGCACCCCTTCTTTCATTATTATACAAGCACATCGACCGGAAAATGTAAAATTGGCAGATCTAACGATACGCATTTCTGTGACTTGTATTACATGAGAAACACAACCGCGCGATATATTTTAACGTTCCCTTCGGTCTGTGCTATCTGCGAATAGCCCATGCAATTTCGTTACTTTCGACTTTCCCCGGGGTTCCAGGCGGTCGCCCCTGTTGTCGCGATCCTATAAACGAGTGACTCCTCGTTGTCTGTAGATCTGATAAGGCTAATTACGCTAATACATTAGGCGAGTGGAAGCCTCGAAATAACGAGTGCGCCACCCAGCTCCATGTGCGCCCGGCTGCATTTACCTCTGGCAATGCCTATCGCGTAGGTAGACGAGGGTGTCCTAATTACCTACCGCCCGGCGAGACGCCTTCTTGCCCGCATGTAAACACCTTCATTACCACTGAACTGCTCCATAAAATATTTCGCCGGGATAGCTGTTCGGTATAGGTAATAACCCCAATCCGCGAAACTCTATAAAATGTCATTCCTTATGGACACTAATTTAGCGACGAGAAATCGCTAATTATTGACTGTTACATTTGGAACATTAAATCCTTGTTACGATATACCCCGACAAGCCGTGACGAAAATGTGGAATACGATCTTCACGCGTATACGTGGAAAAGCGTATTACACTAAATAAGAATTTAATACAATACGCGCTTATCTCTTGCTTCATTTAGCACGGGCAATTTGTAGAGGTGCTTTTACAGTAAGCGAAACATAAATGTTGTTTCCAGCGCAACTTCCGTTACGACACGGTGTAATTGAGTTTATATCGTATCGTAAATCTTTTTGCGCCACAAAGCTACAAAGGGAATGTATCGTCGGATCGTGGAAATGGGAAAGTGAGTTATCTAAGCCGGTGTGAATATAAAAGTTTTGCACATCCGTATTTTAAATAGTAATTTTACATTCTGCGGAACGATACACGATAGAAAAAAAATTGTTGAAAACGAAGATCTCTATAATCGACAAAGCGATTCAAATCGATCAAGCGCGTACACTCAAATACAAAGATAGAAATTTTTGCCGACGATCTTAGCGAGCTATATATACATTCAGGTATTTCTATACCTATATCGTCATTGTAATAGCGACTACTGAGCTAATTGTCAGCCACTACTCAATTTGTGCTAAGAGAAATGAGACACTGTAGAATTTCCAACGTGACGGTGAGCACCAAGGTCTCAGGTTCGGGGAATACCGTGGCTTCCTCGCGAGGCACTATCCAGCTCTTCCGTATCAACGAGTAAACGACCTCAAACCAGCCGTCTTGTATTTCATGTCTCAGTAAAAGTTTCTGTTTCGTGCCAGTCATAGTCGCGTCGATATCTTCGGTTACGGGGAAAGTCCCTCCAGCGTTCCAAAGATAAAGCTCTAATATGTCAGTAGAGATATCTGTGGAGACAATATCTTATGAAAAATGCTTTTGTGTTTTTGCCTCTCATGTTAACGCGTTTCCTTCATTTTCCTCAGCATTCATTTGTATCATCGCACAATCTGCTCTTTGCTTTAGCGACGTTGCCGTTTCTATTTTTTTGTACGGCTGTTTCAGTTAAAATTCTCTTTATAATTTCATTCCCTTCCTGCAACTGTTTGCTACGAAACTGAAGGCTCCTTTGACACGTAAATAGAAATGTCAGATGCTTTTTTCACTTAGCAAATTTGGTTACCAGCGCAAATAGTTTACCCAATAAAAAAAGAAGACGTTCTTTTCTTTGTATGTCATGCGTGCAATTTTACGCAAAGGTTGCGGAGTTATCGCTTGTTTCTAACAATAACAATAATAGTATCTACAGAACGAAAAAGAATCCGAACGATAATGTTACATGACGCAACGATGATATCAGAATCCGTGCGCTACTTTGCAAAAAAGCGTCCCTCGGAAAAGATTTGAATTCCATCGGTAATGGAAAGATCGTGCGCGACGTAGTAAAAGAAATCCAATTCGGGGATTCCATGAAAAGTCCCTGAGCGTATACGTTTGGAAAGTACGTGAATCTTAAGTAAGGCGCGACGCGAACAAATTCGCGTCTGATGACTCAACGAGAGAGCATGCGAGATCATCGTTATCACAGACTGTCGTTACGGCAGAAATCTGGGGAAATCCTCGCAAGATAGCGTTATTTATGTGCGCTTCGTTCCCAGCAAAAATTGCTTATCTGCGTGTTGCAACAGATATATTTTCTTTGGTTCCATGTTGTGAAATGCTCGAATATATAAGCGTGTAAGATGCATAAGCAAATCAGTTCGAATCCTTCTGTAGTGAAGAGTGACAGTCAAAAGTGTAGTCAAGAGTATAATACGGTAATATTTAATTTTCAAATCTTAAAGATTTGCCGATATCATTTTACGCGGAAATACTTATCTCATCTAAAACAGTTCGACCCGCACAAATTTTCGCGCGGTCTGCTAACATTTCGAGATTCTGCATCGCCAGACAGTTCATTTGCACGCAACTTGTCAAAAAGTCCATAGTGTCGGACTACCATCTTGCCTTTGTATAACGTTATCTTTCGTTTCTTCTCGTCAGAACAATATATTCATCATGAAGTACGGAATGTGCATCGCAATGCTATTGGCTGCAATCTGCGCTTTGTTTGTCGATGTACAAGCGCATCCAACTTTCGGACTACCTGCTCAGGGACCTGGTTTCCCCGGACCATTTGGACCTGGGCCATTTAATCCTAACCCATTTCCTGGACCATATGGACCCGGATCCGGTCCATTTATTCCTCCTATAAATGTACCTGGACCATTTAGACCTGGACCATTTAATCCTAACCCATTTCCTGGACCATACAATCCTGGGCCGCGACCAAACGTAAGTACATTAATCGTCTATATTTACATTGCAAAATTGTTTAATTTTCTCTTCATAATTGGAGTATTCTCTTCGTTAGACTTTTGATAAAAATATTTTTATCATTGTTACAGTTCGGCCATTTTCGTTTCTGATCTGAGCGGTTACTGTCTATCGTCCACGCGCAAAGTCACAATGACAGATACGTAAAACTCACTTCTGTCACGTGGGCTATATGTGACTTATTTAACATCATCCAAAGCCCGTATCAAATTTAACTATTGTACAGAAGTTTATTTAAATCTATGTATTAATATATCTATGTATTTATTAAATATTTCGACCTATTTAATTCGTTCTCATTTCTTTTTCTTCGAAATGCACACTTGCAATTTGTTTTTAATCCCTGTAATATCGTTAGATGCTGTCGTGTAGGCGATCACGTAAAACAATCAGAGGCAAAGACACTCCGGAGGAAACTCCATCTGGGAGACATTTTCTGCCGTGAAAAACGATATTTCAATTAAATCCTTAATCAAATAGGGAGAGCACGGCGGTTTGCATCTTGGGTGACCATAAATCGCGTTAATGTAAAATGACTTTTCTTATTAGCAAGTTATTTGCACTGGCATAGAGCGCCGCAAACAGGAATATTGCATCTAAGCTTCTATCTAGTAAGAGTTTGCGAGGCTGCAACGAAATCGATACGTGCTTTCCGCGATATTCGAAGCAGGCATCTACGGTTACTCCGTCTCAATCTACAGTCTGATGCTTTTATTTCTGCTTCTCTTTCTCCCGGTAAACTAATTAAGACCCGTTGATCGTAATTAATATCCGTGTTGTCTGTGAATGTATCCTTTATCCTCGGGTGTCATAGTCCTGTTTCATAATTGGCAATTATTTAGTTTCGGAGCGAGCAAGTTAGCCCAATCCGGGAGCAGTCCTGGAAGATGTATCCAACCATCTGTGGCAAGTGTTGCATGCGACAGCATAATGTAAATGGTGAGTTTGGTGAGATCCTTCCTTGTAATGAACACAGTGACGTTAGACGCGGTTGTGTAGCCGAGTACTTTCCCTCCGCTCTTCTGCATTTTACGGAGTTCCTACGTTAATGCGATAAGAGAGCAGTCTCAGTCGGGCCAGGCCATAACTTAAATTGCTCGCTTCTTCGTCGTGGCTAATGCGAAGCGATACTTAAAGCGGAACAATCGCGGTGCGCCAGTCAGCTTTATTCCGAGCGACCATTTTGATCCGACAAAGCGTTCGTTATCTGGCTGCTGAACGCACGGTGCTTCTAACGAGACGAGAATTAGAATAATAATTTATAATCACGTAGTGCGTGTGTGTATGCGTATTCGTGAAATAGCAACAGCGAGAATTAAAGTCCCCTGTACGCCTATTTATTAAATAACACGTAATAATCAGCTATAAATGTTGTGAGTAACGACTGTCAAATGAATATATCGCCGCTGGCGACCGCGCTAAAATGATTTAACGCGTGTTTGTGAAAATCGTTGAACATCACTTTTTCCACAACAGCGAGAATTATGTCGGCGCTGGCTTCGTGAAATTCGCCAAATTCTCAAGCACGTCATCGTCGGCGATCCAATTTTTCTTTGTCATGATTCGAATACCCCCGGGAGAGCAATCAGGATCCCTCAAGTGGTAGTCGAGTAAGGCTACGTTGGATAAGTGGGGCAATTAGCGAAATACTTAAAATTTCGGCATAACTTTCCGGACGTTGGCGACGAGAGGATGCGCCAAGGGTAAGGACGAGAGTACGGCGAGTGTCGTTATTCCATTTCGCGTTCTAGAATCTGAGGTGCGTCCGGGTCGACAAAACGACGAATTGTATCGTACACGCGATTTCCACGAATGGCGCTGCAAACGTTAATAGAATTTAATTTGTACTTGAAGTGAAATCTTGCGAGAGCCCTTCGACTCCCTGCACACCGTTGAATGCACGGGAAGCAAGATAAGATTTCCGCAAAACTGCCGCACGGGTATCGCTTGGCCGCACGTGCCAAAAGGTAGGGCAGTGCCGATGTACTCGAAATGCGGAGCATCCTCGAGTATCGTTATGCTGTTTTTGCTCTCTTGAATCCACGAGATGCAATTAGAGGTCTCGCTCGAGAAGAGCGGCGTAACAGATGGGCAGGCTTGACTTTCTCCCGTCGTCGCGCTGTCTTTTTCCGATTTTCTACGCGGAGGATTTGCCTACCGTGTCACTTTGCATTATTCATGTAGGCTTTACTTGCAGGTTGTAGCTGTTTTAGGACAGAATCGTTCGCCACCTGATTTTTATCATATCGCGCGACAGCACATTAAGTGCCGCATCCGACAAGCGCATCGATTTATTCGATACACCTGTTACTGGTAAGGAGCGACACCTTCGGTCTTTTTGATCTCGGCTCACCTCGTTCGCGAGCTTACCCTCCGTCGCCGTGCCGTGTGCTTGTTAATGCATATTGACGGCGGGATTCGATGAAATTGTGCACAGAACAACCCAGCTTATCTATATATATATATCCGTGAAACATGTAACATTGGACGAAGACGAGGCTGAAAATTACTGGAAATCCGTGGGAAATAAATTTCAGCGTGTACATCCAGCGTGCAAGTACCAATCGGCAAAATCATCCATGCGCGGAGAAATAAAAAAAAAAGCGCATAAATTTCAACTAGTTTTTGTAAACGAGGCGCAGTAAAATGCTGCGCAAAGCTCGCACTCGAAGTGAGATATTAACTTGGCTAAAAATCGTCCATTATTCAACGCCAAGTTTTCCTCGTAATATGCGGTATCAGATTAAACTGTTTTGCATTTTCGATCGTTTTCAATTGTCTTCCCCGCGGCGCGAATAATGGTTTTCGAGAAAGTCGCGAGGGGGGAATACGCGTGATCGAACTTGACTTTGAAAGCGTGACGAGTGTTTCGCGCGCGTCCCAGCGGATATCGTCGAGCATTAATCGAACGCGAAAATAAGCATAATCCCCTAACAGATATTCATTATCGCCGGCGAGAGTATCTAATATCGTTCATAACACGCAAACTGCAACAGACAGAGAGCGGATTGAATGACGGATAGTAAAGCGAACGGCTGTACGTGACTCGGTTTCTCGTGGAATAAATGAGTCCCGTTGTACGAACTAAACCAACGCACCGATCTCCGCAATCGTCGGAATATGTTCTCTGTATCCACTGCGCCGACATTACAACCCAATTTCCTGAATTCCTATTATGACGTGGCCAGTTTTGCCGGTTATTCCGCGGGCGGTGCGCACGAGAAATGCAGAATTCACGGCACAAAATCCCGTTAACTGGCTGATAACGATCCGTTATCAGGCCGAATGAGCTTCGACGCGAGACTAAAAATACATCCGTTCGCCCTTAAATCGGAAAGCTTACGCTTCCTAATGCATTCAGGAAGTTCAGCTCGAGTTACTGGCTCTATTCTCCGCGCTGCTCATTTTAACGTCCTTTCTGTGTTATCGCATTTCAACCATCGTTCCGGGAACGTACGTTTACGGGAATGATAATTAGCTGGAATACAGTTTCCCCTGTGTTCCAATCCCTCGGTAATGATTTCGCGTAAGTTTTTGTTTCGCCGTACTTTGCCAACTTGCGCGCGCTGACAGAGCGGAGATTATAACATTTGCCGGAACGGGCGATTCGCAAACACTTCCGTCAAGCTTCTCAGCAACATTTTAATCCTCCATATGACGTTCCACCGACGCGGATTATGTTTTTATTAAAGACTAATGAACGCACTTTTGTCCAGGTTTCTTTAATAAGTTCCCGGAAAGGGATTCATCATGGCCGGGATTAAAGAAGTGGATGAAAAGAAGAGCGGGACAAGAAAAAGCAAAGCGCACGATAAATCTGCGATCCTTGACGGTTGTTCGCGTGGGGGAAGAAAAACGGTTCTACACCATCTCATCGTTTTCAGATACAACGGAGGCTACACGATACGGGCGTCGCGTGTGGGATTTTTAATTACAGCATCGTCCATAACGCGTAACTTTCGCGACAGAGCAGGTCGACGACGAAAACTCCAACAACGCGCAAGGCCTCCTGTTAAGGTGCTGATAACGCGGCAATTAAATCGCGTCTCCGCGAGATTTTATTTTTCGACGCATAAACAATCGATCGCGGCACAAAGGGAACGATTAACCTCGCGCGCACCCTTTTCTCGGCTTGCCGAACAATGAAGGTCCGGCGCATTATATTCACACGCTATTTTCGAACGTGAAAGAAGTAACGAATGATGGGTGGAGAACCGGTTAAGCCGTAAACGAAATTCTTTTACCGGATTTCCAGTTTTTGATCGACCCTTTGTTTATCGTTCCCTGAATAGTAGTTTGGATTTGGGAAGATGGATCGCGCGCCAACGTTCCTATATCCGAGTATATGTCAATCCTGCCACCTCTGTCGCTTGACTATTACCTACAAAGCCGTGAATTTTTATTTCTTCTATATTCTTTCAAAGGCTAATGAACTATCGATCGAGCTCTCTTTCTCTCTGTTCGTTCGGATGACGAGTTTGTCTCTTTCGCTCTCTCTCTCTCTCTCTCTCTCCCTCCCTCATCCAATCGGCGATGCCGGGTATGCAGAGATCGTTACCGGTGCACAGGTAGCGCACTGATGATTCATATATAGGTTAAATCGTAAAACGAAGCCGTTCGATAGGTTAACCGGAGAACGTAGACGAGAACATCCGACGCGTCCAGATCCCGTTCGCGTTTGGGAGTCCAGTACGGACATTGAAGGGAAGTGTCGCCGCGTTGTATTTCGCGCGGATGTCAACCGCCGCGGTGAAAAGCGGCCTGCAATTATCGAGCTCGTCGAACGAACGAATATCCGAAAATTTACCGTAAATATCATTAACGGATCTTTCGAAATTGCATTACGGTAACGGAATCGAGCGCAAACTTACGGCAATTTACCGTTTCCGCGGTTTAACGCAGAAATTATACATACCCAGCCATTTACTGGTATTTCGTATACGGACATACATCACGCGTACCAGATGAAAATAACATAATTAGAACGCTCCCCGTTCGCTGATATTTCGCGCGTACTAGCCAAAATATTCAAGGCCATAAATCCCCACCGTAACTCGGCGGCCCATTCAATTTTACACTACTCATATTTTCCTCCGGCCGCTCTCTGTGTGACACTTTATCTTTTACATTTATCTGCAGATATATTACAGCGCGTCTACCGTTGTTAACTGCCATTCTCGCGCGCCATACACAGATTGCGCCTTCGGGCGAATAAATCTTAATACGCGTCTCCACGGCCGGTTATCTTTCGCGCGCGCGCGCACGGATAATGGTTCTATTTCTCGGGCT